AAAAGAAATTTTTCCTGTAGAAAATAGCGCCTTGCTGTTTTTGTTTAGATATTATTTTGAATGGGGAGGGGGGGGGATAGGTTGATAAAAATGAAAACTAATTTTTTACGGACATTTTGTGACAAGCTAGTAAAAAAGAAATACTTTAAAAATCTAAAGTTCAGAACTTTTTTCTGGCTTGCATGTGTGTGTTATATGGGATATGACAAGCTTAGGTCAATTTTCTTAAGATGCACAGCGAAAGAGGGGGAGGGGGTCCAAGTTAATTTTTTTTAGTAACTTTACATACAAATTTAGTTTTCTGAAAGAAAATTGATGAGGTACAACAATTCTCTGCAATGTAAATTCATTGTTAAATATAAATAACTATTGTAGAATTTAGTACCTGTTTCTACTCTGATGACGAACAAATTGAGGATGCCAACCAGGAAGTAGAAGAAACAAATGAAAAGGATGGAAACCAGGAAACAGCAGAAGAGGAAACACAGGAAGTGACAGAGGAAAATCAAGAGGTGGAAGAAGAGAGACAAGAGGAAAAAGAGGAAGTGACAGAGGAAACGCAGGAAGTGATAGAGGAAACTCAGGAGGTGACAGAGGAGGTCCAGGAGGTGAAAGAAGAAGCCTGAAAGAAAAGACAGAAAGAAAACCAGGAAGTTGTGGAAGAAAAAGCAGGAGGAAACAGGAAAAGCAGGAGATGACAAGAGGAAAGTCAGGAAGTGGCATAGGAAAGTGTGAATGAGACAGATGAAAGTAGTAAGGTTACAGAAGAGAAACTAAGAAACAAAAGAGGAAACTGAGGAAAGAGCAAGGAGCAAAAATGAGGAAGTGAAAGAGGAAACAACGGAAGAAGGAAAGGGAAGTACAGAGGTAACAGAAGGAAATCAGACTGCAGTAGAAGAAAATCAGCAGGAATCTCAAGGAAACCAGGTAACCACATACGATAGACAGGAAACAAAAGAGGTATCTGGGAATCAGGAAGGGGGTAAATAAAAGGTCATCTTACTGTACAACTCTTTTTTAATGACTGAAAAGTGTGAAATATGATAACCACTCCTACCCCATGTCTTTGAAATATATCAAAATGTGTCATAGGAAAAGTATTTCTCCAAATAATCTGCTGAACTCAAGATGTGTAATATCATGATTTTTGTATGTTTCTCTTTTGACAGATGTGTCTGCGATGGAGAAGATAGGTGCTGTGTATTTTTTGTGTATCTTCTGATGTACTCAGGACTCGAGTTCACATTCGCTTTCCTTACTCACAACAGGCTCAAGATCCACAGGTATCTTATCAAGTCTTCATCAGATTTTCATCTCCTCCTCTTCCTCACTGCATCATCATCATCATCATAGACTCTTTCTTTTATGTTTGTTTCTTATTGATCATCTTCTTTTCATCATAAATTCAGCTAGAATTTAAAAAATGGATTTTCTGTATTTTTTGTTACCAGGACAATGTTTTAAATCAGTTGTTCTAATATACTGAGGGAAGAATGCAGGGTAAACTTTTGAGGTGAATTAAATTTGTTTTTCTTAGAATACTTTTTAGTTTTCCTATCCTACTTTTAAAACCATCTTTCAAAAAGATATAACCAAATTCTCGTATCATTTTGTGTAATTATTCATGAGTTATTGAAGCTCAAATAACGATACCCCCCAAAAGGGAAAATTGAAAACTCTTATTATCTTCAATGTTCATCTCGTGCATCTGTCAGAGTCTTATTTCTTCTTTGCATGGAATTTCATCAGAGTGTTTATCTTTTAAACTTTGGCTATATTTAGCATGGGTAACCACACAAAAAAATAAGTCAAACGTCGCGCGCATGCGCCAGTGAGAGGAATACAACAGTAAGTTGACTGGCTCAAAAAACCAAATTGCGGAATTGTTTTCTTTCAAATTTCTTATGAATGTAATGATTATAATCGTGTGCACTATAAATGGCTATTTTTGTGTAGAAATGTAGCGATTTAAGAGATGGCAGGATGAATAACCCGCTCGTAACATGGTTCTGATTTGCGTTAACGTCATCGTCACGGTTGATTGAAATCAACTCCAGCATCTCTGACAACGGCTAAAAAGTTTTTATGGGGGAAATTTACAAGAGACTGCCTAGTAAACCGTTGTTGCCTTTTTCATTAATTCGGCAATTCGAAAACAAGACACCATTGAACTTCCGTAAACTGTGCCAAGATTGCAAGAAATTCATAATGTCTCTTAATATTGAAAAAACAATGTACATGCTCTATCTGCATTAAATAATGCAACAAGATTTGTGAACAAACACGTCGTTATCAAATTGCACGTGTTTTGGGCATTTTAGCGTTTTCACTACGTGACGTCATAAATTTTACGGTTGAGTAATTCTGAGTACTGATTTTGATGCATAGTAACTAAACTTCTCATCTGACCAATTTTCGTAATTTTCGGTCATGTGGTCAAATTTTTATCGACAATTATGCTATCCTGCGTTTCTTTTTCCTTTCAGTATATTAAGCTTTCTTTTTTTTCATTAGTATGCAACAAGGGAAGATGTTTTTCTTTTGGGGACCATCATGGCTTTAGTGCAGGGTAAGTCATTTGGATGTACAAATTTTTTGAAGAGTTTCTGCTGTGTTAATTGTTTTTATGTTCCTCACAAACCTTGAAGCAAGTAGTAAAATAAAATCATGGAATCGTCAGAATTTATTGAAAGCAATTAGTTGATACGTTTTTTGCATAAAATACAGGTGGTTATGTTAGAAAGATACCTGCAGGGAAAGAAGTGAAGATAGCGACCCTGGTAAGAATTTAGGCCCGATTTATAAATTTTATCCATCCGTAATTTAAAAGCAACTTTTTTATCTTCGAAAATAAGCAATTTTATATAATTTAATTTTGGGGAGAAAATACTGAGTACATGTACTACATTTCCAAGGGGAAACTGCCTCTATTTCTGCAGTAATTTTGGGTCAAGACTGCACTGGTTGCATATTCTAGCCAGATATAATGCTAAAAATATACATGTATTTTAAATTTGAAGCATTTCTTAATTTTACTATGCAATTAAGACTTATATTTGCAATTTCAGGGAATGACGATGCTTATCCCAAACTTTGTGTGTATGGCCTTTGCCTACAGTGCTAGCCTGATGTACATAGGACTGACATTTTTTGCCTTTGGTGCGTAACTTCTAAATTTTCAATTTTTTCTGCTTTATATTCATTGAATATATCAGAAAATCCTGTACAAACAGGTATATACTTGCTCACACAAATGAAAGCGACATACTGGCTTTATAATACATGATGTATTAGGAGCTATGTAGAAAATTCTTCCCAACTATATCAAATATTGCTAAATTTGGACTAGGAAATTGAGACATTATTTGAAATTATGGCATTTTTATATAGCTTCAGCCACAGTTGTTCCTTGTCTGACAACACTGATCTCAGGATTTGGAGGCACGGATCAGAAGGGGGTGGTGATGGGAGTGTTCAGATCTCTAGGGGCTCTAGCCAGAGCTATCGGTCCTGTCTTATCCAGTATAGGTATGGTCATATGATCACAATATTGGTTAAGCGTAAGTTAATTGTTTTTCATCTAATTAAAGTCTTTGCTATTAATCTCGCTGCATTTCATTTCTGGAAATATGCATAGCATTTCTGACATTTTTTTTATCATTTCCGACATTTTTTTTTCATTAAATTCCGACATAATTTTTTTTTCATTTCCAGAATTTACCTGTGCAGCAATTCAAAATTTTTTTAAGTAAAAGAAAAAATGAATTTTTAAAAGTATTTATACCAAAATATGAAAAAAATTTGAATAAAAACAAAAACTACTATACATATATGCATACATGTAGCACTAAGTATAGGTAATGCATAAAACTTTTCCCACGCAGGGGGGATAAGGAGGCATACAAAATATTCTACCCTGACTAAATCAGTGCTACATTATGAAGTCATAGTAGGCGAGATGACGTCAATTTTAAAACACAAGTTTTTGTAATATTGGTATTTAGAGATGTTATTTAACTCTAGAAAATGAATAGAAACTTGTAAACATTAACAGAAATAAAATGCCTTTATTTTGTAATGCTGTATTCTGTCGTTTTGATGAAAATCTACCACCGATGACGTCATATGTGTACATCAAGTAACTTGGGAATTGATCATGCCGTGTAAAGAGAATTTGGCTATTACTGCATGTACAAAGATACGTAAAATGGAGTTTAACAGCATATATTGTTAATATTTTGTGATATTCATATGGAGTTCAGTTATAATAAAACAGGTATGCTAAGTTATTTTCATTTATTTTATTCTCTTTCAGAGACAGCCAGCTATATTCGTATCCCGGTCGACCTTTCCTCTGTCATTTGAGACAAGAAATTGCAACAGAACAACAATAAGCTGTATATTGCAAAACTTAAGATTTGTACATATGGAAAGTTTGCCTCCTAAAATAGATGGAAAGTGCTGCTAGAATCCCGAGTTAAGCATGGTTTTATGAAAAATCAGGGTTCATATGTAAAAAATTCAAAACACCGGTAAGGTTTCGTACGAATGTGTGAAATAATAATTTTACTAACGGGACAGTTGGATTCTAGCAGCACTTTTGAGACAAAATAGATGTTTTTCAGCTATATTACATACTCAAAGAAATTATCAAACTCCGGGGTATTGTTGTTCTGTTAGGTTTTTTATTAAGGAAAATTTCGCTATTAATAGAAGTCACGTGATGCCGTGGTGGGGGTGCACGTCATTGCTGTAAACATTCTTTTATCTTTATGCATTAGATAATAATAGTTTACGTTAATAGAGGTTTTGTTAAATTATAACACTTAATTTTCTTTAAAAAGTCTAAATTTCCCAAAAATGACTTATATGCTTCCTTAACATACCCGCGCACACATTTGATGTGCACTTCATTAAATGTTAGTGACAGCACCATTCTTGTGTCCAAGTCAATGATTTTTACAAGTCATTGAGATTTTACAAAGTTGAATTTCAATTATTCTTTAATCTTTCAAATTTTTCATAAGTAAAGTTATCAAATCTGCTACTATAGGTACTAAATATGTATTTAAAAAATGTCGGAAATGAAAACTAAAAAATATTTAAAATGAAAAGTAAAAAAACCCGCAAATGAAAAGTGGATAATTACCAAAAATTAATGAAATGAAATGCAGCCGTTAATCTTATGCTTCATCTAAAATTAAATTATTGAGGACATTAAAGGTGAAATGCAACGCCAACTTTTTAGGTCACCTGAGTAACTCAGGTGTTCTTTGAAAATCTTCTTCTCTGCTCCTAGGTATTAGATGAACTAAGTGCATAGTTATGATGACCAAGAGTGCCTCTACCAAAATTGTGAACTTTATGGCCCAAGGGTCAGGGGTTCTGGTGTTAATGTGGGGCTCTATCTGATCATATAGTGAAAATACATGAATTCTTTGAAAATCTTCTTCTCTGCTCCTTGGTATTAAATAATCTAACTAAGAACATAGTTATGATGAGCAAGTGCCTCTATCAAAGTTGTGAATTTTAGGGCCCCAGGGTCAGATGTTCTGGTGTAAGGGTGGGGCTCAATTGATTGTATAGTGAAAATACATGAATTCTTTGAAAATCTTCTTCTC